TTCGTGAAAAGAATTTGGGAATGTTTCACTATTTCCAATCTCTCACGAATCCACTTTCATAGACTTTCTTGACCAGCTTTCAGACCGCCAATTTCGTTACATGTGCATTGAATAATTCATGAAATTTTTCAATAACATATTCATATGAAAAATTTTCATTACCGTAACAATGGATCAAATGTAGGTAATATTCTTTGCTTTGTTTGCAAAAGTTACAAAGAATGACGTTTTGCTTGACACTGACAACTAAACTATCTCCAACTCCAACAAAAAAGCAACCCAAACAACGATAGATGAGTGATCAAAACATGATCACCACGCCCCATATTAATAAAAATATGGGTCGTTACTTAGTATGACTCTGTAAAAGCAGCCTTGTATGGGAGATCACGTGCACTATGCAGAATAATGTTATGGAGCATTATGCTGCTTGTTAGGACATAGTATAAGTCATTTATTTCAGAGGTCTATTCATGATATCTAATCAGAGGCCTAATCAGGGTGATGAGTGAAATGTAAATTTGTACCAAACAAATATTAATGGATATTAAAAAAAATTATAATGAAGGTACTTAACTCTTGTTAACAAATTGAACTTCAACTTTTCAGGCACCCTATATACAACCTTGTTTTTTCTCAAGGGTCGTATTTTTACGAAAGCAAACTTTTTTATCAAAAATGAACTTTTGTCGAATGATGAGAATTTTGGTCTGTTTCTTCTGTTGTCTACCACATCGCTGAACATACTATACATGAAAATCTGGATAGTTTGACTTTGCTGAATGTGTAGGAATTTGAGAGCAATCACATCAAGGGCAACCGGCCGCTCACAAGACAGTAAGTTCCTTGACTTTGGAATGGCCTCGAGCCAGAACAGCCCCAACCATAACAGTAAGTAGAAATTCACGAAAACAAACAGCATAAACATCAAGTCAACAATTCAAGGAAGCCCGCATTACCTTCGCTCGTTACGGAGACAACAATTAACGAAATGTTCCACCAAAATGGCAGCCGTTCCATACGTATGGATCGACGATGTTCGGCTCACTGCCGAACGGCGCATGCGTTGTACGGCGCGCCTGCAAATTCTGTTGCAGCCTGTGTCGCAGTCATTACCGTTGAACCGCCTTCCCCATGACTTGTGTGCAACTGTCGGTCAGTGAAGTGGGCAAGGGAACTTATGCTTCTGTATTAGCATAAAGTATTCATGTATCATTGAAGGATGCCTTGTTTTATTCACCGAGGAGGTGACTACATGTGAAATGTGAGATGCTACCTGGTCTTTATGTTGTGAACCAAACTAGCACTCTTGTTGGCATAACCTGGGCCCAGTTTATTAGGTACTGTTGGACAGTATAATCATAATCGAATTGAAATCTCAAAAACTTTTGTGAATGATGGGCAATAATATATTGACGCTCGAAAGGAGTCAAACAAAGCTTATTTTAAGATATTGAAGTATCTGTGATATGTTTCAGCCTCAATAGTAATCATCGGAATGTCGCATATTTTTTTACTAGCCAAGAGGGAAAATGAAGAATTTCATGGCTTCGGACTTCCATTGCCTGATATTATATAAAATGATTTGAAATCCCTGAAAGAAATGAAAATAAAAGAAGGATTAAAAATGAATAGCTGAAAATAACAATTATATCAAGCAAAAAAAAACCTGAAATGAAATAATAGTGACATACGAGTAAAAATAGAACAATTGGAACATCGTCTTATGTGGAGAATTCAAGGCAGTTTGTCGAACTACTAGGGGAAATTGAAGTCACACAGGAAGATCAACTAATTAGTTTTTACGTGGAAAACGTTCACACCAACGTTCCGGTCGAAGAAGCACTCCAAATCATATAGAGGAAGCTATCCGAAGACGGGGACCTGAAAGATAGAACGAATTTATCTATAGAAGTTGTTATGGAATTACTAGGATGCTGTGTACGAAACTGTTACTTCCAACTGAAGGACGAACTCTTTACACAAGATGTGGGACTGCCAATGGGATCGCCACTTTCACCAGTTATAGCCAACATATATATGGAGTGGTATGAAACTTCATAATATGGACACCATAATATGGAACCATAGAAATACTGAACTAGACTCCTTCCTGAAACACATCAACAGCGTAAGATCTTTCATCACTTTCACATTGGAGAAGGACTTCCACAACGAATTGCCATTGTTAGACGTATTGGTGAAGAGGATCGACACTAAGTGGAAAACATCTGTATACCGAAAATCCACTCATACGAAACAGTATCTGAACCACGAATCCAACCACTATCAATCGACTTAAAGAAGAATCGTCAAGACTCTATTAAACTGTGCTTCCGGGCTCTGTGATACGAAGGAAGGTCTCGAGAGAAGGAACTAGACATCATTAAAAATGATCTTCAACGGAACGGTTACTCCAAAGCGATGGTAGAACAGACTTTGGCTAAAAAGATAGCAGGAGCCTCGCAAAGAAGAGAAGCCGTCACAACCAGTGCTTGCACTTTCCCACATCAGAGGATTATCGGAAAGGATAAGAAGAATTGGTTCCAAGTACAACATCAGAACGTGCTTCAGATTCGGAAACACTATCCGTAGCAGCTTCACGAAAACCAGGCCACCAAAGGCGGACTGTGATTCCAAGAATTACATTTACCGGATATCCTGTGAGTGTGGAAAATCCATTGAATGTTCGCATTGCCGAACACAAGAAACATACACAGCGAGGGGAAACCAGCAAATCAGGAATAGCTGGGCTCATACACAGAGAGGAACACTGGTTTAGGAGGAAATTCTAAGAAGCCGCATACATGTTGTCCAACAATGTATTTAGTCAAGCTAAGGTAGAGATAAGCAACATATTGAAACCCAAAATCAGGCGATCATCTCCCACTAAACCAGTAAAGGCGGAAAAAGGAAGGCGGAGAAAAGTGAAAGTACTCGAATGACCCATAAATAGTCATCTTTCGGAGAATTTAGTTCAGTCATCACCTGAAGACGATTGTGGATATTAACAATCGAAACGTCGTGAAGTAATTTGGCTTGGAATCTCTTAACTTTTTTATTTTTATTTTTTGTTCAATTGTTCTATTTTTACTTGTATTTTATTTCACTGTTATTTCGTTTCAGGTTTTTTGCTTAATATAATTGTTATTTTCAGCTATTCATTTTGAATTCTTCTGTTTTAGTTGTTTCAAGGATTTCAAATCATTTTATATATTAGACAATAGAAGTCTGAACTAATGATATTCATCATGAAACATTGTCAATCATATTTAAACAAAGGGAAAAAGAACATTTATTTTAGAAGAAAATTCAGGTACTTGTTAAAAATAAAGAGAAATGAGTGCTCAATGGAGGAAAAAAGTTCCTTTAAACCAAGTTTAAGTTACTTTAGCGTCGAGATGATCTGGAAATATATCAGTGTACACAATAAGACAATTTGAACTAATGTTATACCACTAACTGCTATATGTAATTATTTGAATGAGAATTTCTAGGTGATGTCTTGTATTAGTTGGAACTAATTTGTTGACATTGTCTTGGCATTGTCCTTGATAAAAAACTCACCTGGAACGCTCACTTGGAAAAAATTGTACACGGCCATGGATATCCTTCTAGATCTACCTCCTCTCCACATTTTTCTGGAAAAAGAGACTAGATGCCAGTTGCACAAATCAATTTAATGCAGAGTGCAACAGACGGTTGGTTGACACTGGAAGTCACAGCATTCTGGAAATGAACTCTGATTTTATGCCTCCAACTGTCAACTACGAACTGCCTTATAAAGTACTGTCCCGATCCCGATCCCGAAGGATCCACCCTGTCTCCTTGGGAGAAGGAAATATTGAGAACAGATAGTTGTTGGTTCACAGATGGATCAAAAACACCTTCCGGTTTTGGTAGGTGTTTTCAGTCGCAGACCAGGACACACATATCAACCTGCCTAGGAACCTATTCGACCGTATTTCAAGCGAAAATTTACGCTATTGAATTGTGTGCGGAGAGATTGGAAGATTCCAACTTCGTACATAAGTCAATGAAAATATTTTCGGACAGTCAAGCGGCGTTGGAAGCTCTTGGCTCCTACCGACTGTCATCTAAATTGGTAGCAAATTACCAAAAACGACTTTTCTCGATAGAAAGACTTAACAGATTGTCTCTGGTCTACAAGCAGCTTCATAGGAGCTTCATAGGACCAGAACCTGTCATTGGCATCGCTTTAGGCTTTGAGAAACAAACCTGGATGACAAGAAGATGTATGGACTTCTGGCAGAATCTTCCAGGATTGGCTAACTCCAAGGTGTTTATTCACCCTTCGAAGCTTGACACCAAGGAGTTGTTGGACTACAGTAGGCATGAACTACGATGTCTAACAGGCCTTCTTACAGGTCACTGTCATTTGAATCATCATATGCAGAGACTCGGACTGTGTCGCCTCTGTTTCGAAGATGATGAAACAGCAGAGCACATACTTCGTGCCTGCCCCGCTGGGAACCGAGTCAAGTTTTTAGAGTTCGCCAGAGCCGTACTCTTACTATCTGACCTGAAAATCCACTCAACATACGAACTAATCGGCTTCATTAAGAAGCTGGGTTTATTTATTCGAGTTTGAATAGGTGTGAGCCGCAATAAACTATTGCGGGTTGCAGTGGAGGGTCGAATAGACCCACTCACTGTGGACCTAACCTAACCTAACTATATGTAATAATTCGAATGAAGATTTTGAGGTTATGTCTTCTTGTACCAATTTGGTGGAACTAATTAATTGGAGAAATTTCATCAAACTGTTATCGTTATATTTTTGTCGTTTCAGCTTTTTTGATAAAGCGATAATTGCACTGAGCAAGGTTGAATAAATAAATCTTTGAGAATGTCAAGAACTCGAAGAAGAACCAAATTTCATTAAATTGTGCCAATTAACATGCTGATTTTTCAAATGGAAAACGTATTATCTATTACAGCAATAATTGTTGGTTTGAGAAAAATTGGAATTAACTCACATGTGTTTGTCAAATCTGAAATATTGAAGAGGGGCATTCATTGGATGGTGATACCATCAAGTCCATGTGCAGTTGATGCAGATCCTCAATTCGTGAACTAGCCGCTCACGTTTCTTGGCATTCGTTCCCTCGCAACTTTGCACGTCACTGCATAATTCTTTCCGAATTCCTGAAAGTAAATTGGTACGTAGAGTCAGTAATTTATGCAAATAAACTCACTACTTTATTGAGACCTCAACGGAAGTTATGGTGTAACTACATTATAATAAGTAGTGTGAATGGCTATACTCGGTAAAATGTTAATTTCATCAATAGTCCAAGCAACGAGTTAATTTCAGTTGTTAATTTCAATCGGAGTTAATGAATGAACAATTGTATGCAGTGCATTTCTTTAATTTTTTTGAACGGAGCAACTCAAAAAATTGAAATTTAGGATAATTAAATGAATGCATGAATACTTTATTTTGAAGTGAAATTGATAGATGAAACTTTTAAGATGGCGAGCGGGCGCCATCTGGGACAGAAAAATTAAATGGAAAGGAAGGTCTTGTGACACATATTTTTGAAGCTCCTGACAAATGCTTCACAACCCTAGAATATAATGTCAATATCTTCAACTACTACAAAATGGCGGAAGTTTTAATAATTGCCTGAATACATTGACATTTAACTACATAATATGAGGTAATAAGCTTGACTTCAGCTCAGAAGGTACTCGAAATAGTTGCCTTGAACTTCTTGACATATGAACAGGCTATCCAATATTTCATGCCGAATATTTTCGAACACAGTAACGTCAATATATCTACGAATATCAATTATTCTTTGCCGTATATCCAATATTGAAGCAGGTTCAGTTTCGTACACCTTTTGCTTCAAAAATCCCCATAAAATACTCCAAAGGTGTCAAATTTCGCGAGCAGGTTGGCCATTCTGTAGGACCTCGACGGTCAATCCAACGACCGGGAAAAGTAGTATCCAAATAGTTTCTTACTTAAATGGAGTACTGTGGTGGTGCTAAATCTTTTTGGAATACAATTTCTATATCGAATTCATTAGGATTTGCTTCGACGATTTCAGTGATGAGAGGGTCAACAGTAGTTTTCAGCATATTCAAATACAGTTCCCCTGAACTGTATTTGAATATGATCAATAAATAGAAGTCTTACAATATGGTTTCCCTATATTCCTGCCCAAACGTTAATTTTTTCTGGTAGGTATGTGTTTCTCGGAAAACGTGAGGGTTGGTGATGTCACTGCAATTTTTTATAAACAAAAAATAACTTAACAAACCTTATCGGGTTGCCATATGGCAGATAAAAAGTTATACCTTTATTCAGAAATATCAATATTATTGTGGAAATTATTGAATGTTCCGCCATTTTGTAGTAGGTGAAGATATCTATTATAGGGTTGTGAAATATTGTCAGGAGCTTCAAAATGATGTGTCACAAGACCCCCTTTCCATTTAATTATTTTCCCAAATGGCGCCCAGTCACCATCTTGAAAGTTTCATCTGTCAATTTCACTTCAAAATAAAGTATTAATGCATTAATTTCATTATCCCAAATTTAAATTTTTTGAGGAATTTCCAATTCCTCAATATTGAGACTACAGAGCAACAATATTGGGGCAGATTCAAATTTAAACTAGAATTTATTTCTAAATTACAATCCATCAAAATGTCTGCTGCTGTCTGAAACAGACAGAATAAGTAGTACAGTTTTGAAAAGTTTTGGAAGAAAAGCGGTTCTGTTTGGTGAATAGAGAAAGATATCCGGTTACTTTTGAATATGCTGTTTTACTAACAATATTTGTTTTCCCTGTGTCTGGTACCTTTGTCAGTCATTTATATAAACGGTATAAGTGAACAAAAATATCAATAATTATCCAACAATGTGATAAATATAATTTATACACGCATAATAGAAACATACTACTGATAATGTTACAAGTACTCGTAGGAATAGCCGTAATCATACCTGGGAATACAACTTTTGAATGAATTGACAACTACATTGAGAGAAACACACCTTAGATTTATTAAAAAAAAAACAAATGAACATTCTGTTGAGGAATGATTTTGAGTTGTTAAACAATGTGAATATGAATAGGGATCAATGATTACATACAGAGAGAGATAATATAATAATGTAATAATAATAATACTAATGATAATGTTTATTCATGAAAGTTCAAAATTTTACAATAATTGAAGTACATATATGGTAAGTGAATAATCAGGAAAAAATCACGAAGCTTTAGTGTAAATATGTCGCTTGTATATGATATTAAACTGAAAACTAAAAAGTGTAACACTATAGTATATAATGATAAAAATGTTTACTACTTCAAAGTAGTATACATATTTTGAAGCACATGAGATATAAATAGTGTTTCGATAACAGCATTCAGTTTATTATAACTAGAACTGCAGATGTTTACACTTGAGAATTGGAAATGGTTGCTTCAAAAGTTTTTATGAACCTACTTCCAACTGTAATATCTCGGTGAACACCCATTCAATTCAATCGAAATAAGCGCCATTTGAATCAGTGTACTTTCGCCAACGTAACACAAGTTGAATAATTCCGTCAGCATGAAAATTGCTGAAGGAATGTGCTGACGATGTCCTTGAAAAGGTGGTAGTCGGATGGCAGAGATCTGGGGAATATGGTGGGTGAGAAAGAACTTCGACACTCAATTCGATTTATTTTCTGTCTATGATTTCTGAAGGAGGATCGGACCTCTTCTGTGGACCAATGGTGGCTGTGGTTGGTAGGTTTTCGTCTTTGGTGTCCTGAACGTCCCCTGTTGCTGAAGAAGATCCATTTTTCATCTCACGTGACGATCCCATCTAAAAAAGGATCGTTTTGGTTGCGCAAAGCAAAGAAGAACTGACCTCGAAACGTGACAGATTTTGTCGATCGTTCAAATCGTTGGGCCTCCTCTTTTCGAGCTCTTTGACCTTTTCAATAATTTTTAAACCATCTTCCGTCATCCCACTTACCGTTTGTGATGGGTCAGGTTTCGCCAGGAAAATCCTCGTCCTGTATCACTGTAGGTAGTCCATTTTGGTACTCAACTTCAAGGCAAAAAATTGGCTGAAAAATAACATTTGAAAAAAAATTCACAACATTAATGTACTCATAGAGTACAAACTGTTTTATAGATCGATATGTGCCACGTCATAGTAGAATAAATATTTATTAAAATATGGAGCTACATATATAAATGACATTAACGCGGACAAAAATTTTGAAACAACTTAATATTATAATTTACTGAATTCTCACTTTTCAATGCAATTGTTAGTGGAAACGTGACTGACGTGGCTGAAAGATGGGTTGTGAAAATCGATCTGGGTCATCAATTTATCTGATACAGGTGATAGTGTAAGAAGAAAGAAAGCCTAACCACCCAAGTACATAACAGATAGCACTCAAAAATTCATAGATGTTTATGACAATCAGTATTTTTCTCAGAATTTCAATTTCAGAATCATAACAAACGTTGTCTATTTCCTGGACTATTGCCAATGTTTTTTCTTTACTACTATTATCCAGTAAATAGCTCGATGCACACCAGGTGCGTTTCAAATTTATACTGATGAAATTTCAGCCACGGCGGTCGATGTCATGAGGTTCAATCATTTTAAATTTTATCAGTTCGCCAAAAATTTCCATATTTTAATATATTAAAATGTCAACGGTTTTTCATTTGCAATGGATATTTAGTAACTTTTCAGATAAAATCATCTCGGAAGCCAAATAGCGAAATTTTCAAAATTAAATAATGGAAGAGAGGTACTTCATTTATTATTATCTGCCCCGTTCTATGAGAGTTTAAATTAGTATTTAGCACACCTTCTATATCCAGGTGTAATGTAATTCCATGCTGGATACGGGGGGAGCGAAAATATGTTTATCTCTCACACATAGTTTTATGAAAATCAACGGACTCATAGTAAAATTGTTTATATTTCCATTTCTACTAAGAGAATTTTCATGTATGGATAATTTTGTTAAACTCTGGCTGTCGTCGACTACGAACGAAAACTCTCAAAAGTCGAAACTTGTTCGAGCTAAGGACTAACGAGGTCTTACCTTTCAACGTGTGATCCCTTATTTATATTTCCATTGATATTTATGATGGAACACTATTAGTAGTTTATTTCAGTATTGTTAATCTCCTCCTCCAGCGCACTGCCACTGATCGTAGCGTAGTAGCCACTTTATCGAGACGTCACACAACGTGTATCAAGTTTATCCAATGAGAGAAAAGAGTTCGAAAAATTTCCGATGTCTTTTGACAAGAGTATGAAAGGTAAAACTGAAACCTCTGGTATAGAATAACGCATCAAGTTGTAGAGTTAGATTGGGTTAGTTCGAAGATCAGTTCCGAGTGGCAATGAAATAAATGACTTTGTAATGTAATTGGAGTAAGTTGTATTATTCGACTCATTGAATAAGGTTGATGAATGTAAATTGTTTGTTTTCAAAATGAAAATAAAAATATGCTTGCAATGCCAAATTTCAAAATAGAAGTGTTCAGGCGGTCTTTCAGGTACCAAATTTGTCAAAAGTATAATTCTGTCCCAAACTTCCTCAAAAAATTAAATTTCACAATTGAACTGAATATTAACACTAATTGTTAGACTTAAATTGAATCAATTTATTGATATCTTGTAAGGAATAGGTGAAATAAACTGTTTATATAAGGTGTTTGTTCGCGTTTATATTATAATATCCTTTTCTTTTTATTTTCATTTGTTTTCTTTTCAGGGTCAAGTGGAAGAACATTTTCCGTGATGTATTTCATTACGGACAATGAATTTCGCCCTTAATTTCAATTGTAAGTTGAATATATAAGTTATGTTGTGTTTTTTGTTTCGGTTATGAATTAAAAAAAGGGCATTATTATTATTATTATCATTATTTATATTAAAACCCACACAAAATTAACAAAGAATTCATTCAACTTTTAGAACAGTCAGATTTTGCTGCTTTAATTTACTGAGGTATTTCCATTCCAATGTTGATTCCAATTGAAATAATTGTCAAGAAGTGCATCGTTTATGGAGATGATTCTTTATTTTCGACCTTTTCAAATATAAACGTGTGTACGGAGGAAAATTCTAGAGTGAATGGTAATAACCGAAGAAGATGC